TTCCGTTCCGCTTCTGGGGCTTGCAGGTGTCTGCCGCGCAGACGCAGCAGACCACGCGGGAATCGTTCCAGCTGCAGCCCATCCAGGTGTCGACGGCATTGGCGGTTATTATCGGCACCCCTCTTGTCCAGGTTTTATCACTCAGGTATTGTCCAGGTAGAGTTTTTACGGTTTAAATTACTCTCATTTTCTTCTTTTGATTCCTAGCCACCAGTTAGGGAGACACGTGGCAGCCCCCCCCCACCCACGAACCGAGGATGGCACGCACGCACAAGACTGCCCAGATCAAGGCGAAGATGGCAGAGCAAGAGCGTGTGGCCGAGGAAGCTCGTCAGGCTAACCTCGCTCTCTTGCGTGCGGCGCGTACGCGCTCAGAGAGAGCACACGCCAGAGAACTCATGGAGACATCTCGCCCTAGTCCAACTGAAGTAGCAGAGGACAGCAATGCTCAAGAGCGAGTGGAGGAGGCAACAGAAGACGTCGCAGATGAAGGAGGGGATGGTGAGGAAGGGCAGGGAGGTGTGGACACGTCGAGTGAAGCAAAGAAGACAACGGGCGATGAAGAGGACGATTCCGTGGAAGATGAAGAGGATGCAGAGGAGGAGAAGGTCGCTTCGGGCGAAGAAGAAGAGGGTGAAGTGGAAGAAGATGAAGTGGAGACGGAACCAACGAGAAAGCGTCGTCAAGGAAAGAAAAGAACCGTCTCCGATGTCGAAGAAGAAGAGCTGGTTCAGGTCCCTGTTTTTAAGGCGCATCATGATTCGTGGGCCTCGCTGGAGCAGTCTCTCAAGGAATACATGGAGGCGACGCGCCAAAAAATCGTGGTGAAAGAGGTGATCAATGTAGCCCGCAGGAATGCTGATCTTCGGCGCCAAGTGAGGTACCAAGGGCTTCCTGACTCAGAGTCGCCTCTCGTCCCTGCAGAGATGGAACCTTATCAGCGCAAGTTTATCTGTACGCATGGGTGGTCCGAACGTGACAGATCAACGGGAAAGCGGACGTCACACAAGCTGAGTACTACCGATTGTCCGTTTCAGATGCTGGCTCAAGCTACCAAGCGTAGTGACGGTCAATGGGGCGCTGTGATGAAGCGTGAAGTGTACGCCCATAATCATCGTGTCTCCGAAGACATTTACAGGTCTTATCCAGGTATTCGCCAGGTTCCGGCGGACTCACCTTTGATGCCAGGTATTGAGCTGCTGGTTGAATCCGAAGCCGGGACAACAAGCGTGTACAACTACATTCGAGAGAACTCAAAGCACCGAGTCTCCATGGATGATGTGCACAATCTACTTCGCCGGCTGCGTAATCAAGGTAAATGTTTGGTTTGATTACATGTCTTGTCGTCTTGTTCCCCTCTAACTTGATGCATTCGCAGGTGTGGAGTTGTCTGATAACGATGCCGTGGCTGAGATGATTATGGACTTCAACTGAAAGTCATCGGCAAATGTTTCTTCGGTGCACGAAAGTGCACGTGGAGATACCGGTGTGCTTTCCTTCACTAGTGGGCATATGCGTGCGATGTTGGACAACTTCCCCGAGGTGATTCAAATGGACTGTACGCACAAAACCAATCAGTAAGTTGCATGGTAGTAATTGGACAGGTTTTCCAAGGTATGACCAGATTTTGACCTGACTTTGTGTATGGTTAGGTACAACTACCAGCTTTTTACGATGGTTGGTATGGACCAGTTTGGCCAAGGCCAGCCTGTCCAGTATTCGTTAATCGAAACGAACGGTGACTGGCATATGGCCAAGTGCTTGGATCATTTCAAGCGTGCGAACGAACACTGGCGGTTCGTCCGTATTGTGATCGTCGACAAGGACATGCGCGAAGTCGAGGTGGTTCGCAAGAAGCTTCCCGAAGCTCGGGTGCTGTATTGCCACTTTCACGTGATCAAGTGGTTGCATGAGACGATCAGAAAATCTAAGTCATACGGTGCTTACGACGAGGATGTTTTAGCGCAGCTGAAACACGCCATCACCAACATGACTTACTCCAGGACAGAGGAAGACTACCATATGCACCGTGAAGAGTTTAAGAGCCTCGCTTGCCGAGATGATCGCACCGATCTGTGGGAGTACTTTGACAAAAACTAGAACGACTGCTGCGAGATGTGGGTGATGGCGTATCGCGTTGATCTGCCTCACTTCGGAAATCACACCAACAACCGCGTGGAGAGCCTATTTGGTAAGCTCAAACGGCATCTCAAAGGCCACTTTACAATGAGAGCTAGTTTGAAGGTGCTTTTGGACTACCAGCGACGCAAAGAGGAAGACTATCGGTCCAAGGTCGAGATGCCTGGCACCTTACGGGACGTGTCCTACTCAGAAGAAATGAATGTAGCGCTGGGAAAGACAACACGTTGGGTGGCAGCAGCGATCAAGGCTCAATACGATGTTGCTACAGATGCTGCTGTTGCTAACAACTACACGTTTACCGACAATGGCATGTCAGCGGTGGTCAACGTGAGTATCTTATCGAGAAAGAGGGTTACT